ATAGGGACTGAGCCTATGCACACGCATCCAGCCCATGTAGGCTTATTTACCAAATGTTTTATATTGAGATTTTTTTGTGAAACCTTAAATTCTTTTGTTGTTCAAAGGCTTATTGCGGATATTTTCCATCACGATTGTAAAAAACAAAAACAATACACAACGTTTCGGGATCTGGAATCTGATCTTAAATTCTTTGTCAATAGCTTTAAGTTTACATGTTTTTTTTGTGCAATGGACAAAAATATATGTTTATGTTTTCCTTTGAAAAAATTTTTTATAAATAAATTTATTTTGATTTTTAGTTTAATCTGAAATTCCATTATGCAAGTGGGAATGATTGAGGTCTAGGTGGTAATGTGTGAACCGACACTGTGAATATTGGGAACTACCTTAGATGTATGTTAACAGATCCCATAAACAAAATGTATACATTTTTCTGACTTATTCATTGTAAGTCTTTGGTAACAAAAAGTATATGGCAAGTTAATTTAGCTAGGTAAAGGAATTTTTTTGAAGCATAGTTAATTCATAAAACTGCAATAGAATAAGATGTTGATGAAAATGAGCAAATGATTGTGTCACCAATAGATGTTGTTATTAGAAATATAGAAACTAATATTATTCATATTAGGCTATATCTCAAATCTTAATGGTACAAGGTATTCACTATTCACAAAGACAAATAAACACACAATGCACTGGTACAAAAGTGACTGAAAGATTTTAAAATGCACCACTGTATATGTATGATATTCAAGCCAGGTTTTCATTTCATAAGGAATCTATCTAATCTTATGACTAATGTATTCTATTATAATCTCTAAGTGAAACATGGAATCATATATGGACACATTAATGGAGGTCTACTCTGGTACTTCGGTTTGCAAGTAACATTTTCTAAAAGTTCTACTTAGCTGCATTGTTTTCCACTACATTAAACTGTAAACTATAAACTACAACCTCACGTGGAGGCAAAGATATCTACTTTTTGGGAATACTCGAGGGACAGGATTGCCACACTTTCAACCACCTTTAAAATGAATCAAGCATTTTTGGTGAGTATCTTTATCAGTGGTGAAGTACTCGTATCTGGTCATATGGAGATTATTCCTATATTTTTTTTCATATAACACCATTACTTAAAGAAAATAAGCTTGAAAAAGAACTTCTATAATGTTTTTTGTTGTTGTCAACAATCAGCTGTTTAGTTAAGTATTCAATCATTTTGTCTATTACAATTGTGCCAGTGTATTTGTACTATCGATTTGTCAAAATACTGATATATTGATGATTTATCAATCACCTACTTTGAACTACTATTGATTGCTTAGTAAGGAATATTTTTCAAATATTTGTCAAACAGATAACTTATATTAAACTTATACATTTGTTTGTTATCAGCTCTAAAACATCCATACTCATAATGATAAAAACAGTGTAATAAACACCTAAAGCACATTACGAATTGGTTGTAGGTTAGTTTTAGGTTTTAAAGAAGCTGTTAGGTGACCAGGATAAGCTGTCGTCCTACAGACTTCCCTATATGTTGGACACGGCTAGAAAACCTTTTGAAAAGTCCATCCAATCCCAGCTGACCCTGATATCTGCTGGTGACTTGTCTCCTGTATCAGTACGACTTCAGAAAGGTACGGTCAACAATCTACATGATATCTGAAGTACGAAGAGTAGTTGGGCGTGCCGCGAGCTTCAACCATTTCTCTCATCGTTGTTCTTCTTGTTACGCTAGATGTCAAGAATGCCTTAAACTCGGTGAGATGGGTCGATATGTTTAACGTGTTGAGGAACAGCTTCCACGTTCCAGCTTATCCGTTGAGACCTAACAAGGACTATCTGGGCTACAGAATCTTTATGTACGAATCCAAAGATTAATCAAAGAAAATGGATGTCACTTCCGATACCACGCAAGGTCAAGATCTGTGGAACACTGCCTATGACAGCCTTTTGAGATCTGAGATGCCAGAGGAGACCGTTTTAGTTAGGTATGCCGATGATGTCAAGGCATTAATTGCTACACGCAACGTTGAGCTGGCCTGAACTGAAACTGAAGCTGAACCAGATCATGCACGTAGTAAATGCCTGGATCATGGTTTATCGCTTGTTTTGAGCAAGTCAAAGGCCGTTATCCTAACCAAGAAACAGATTGACACCATGGTTTCACTATGAGTGGGGAATGTAGTTGTCCGAACCACGCAAACCATCAAATACCTCGGTGTCATTGAACTCGGCGTGTGTGTTTGTAAATAAAGGTTGAGAGATGTACATGTGAATTTGTGTGGAATATTCGATATATTAAGAATCATATTAATTGTAATGATGGCTGGATATTTTTGCTTAGTGTCAAATACTAATGCATTTCCCATTTTTTGGAATATAAAATTTTTATTAGGAAATTTTTGATAGTTCCTTGAGTGCTTCATTATCATAATTTTGGCTGCAGATTTTTAGACACCTCAAAATGTTACTCTAAAATTTTGCACTTTAGGCACAGTCCTACACAGACAAACACACACAGAACCCAGTACAAAGGAAGGCCCTGTCAAGAGATCTAGGTAAGCTACAGATAACTACTTGATATTCACTAAAGGTGGTGGATGGTTGTTAACAATCCTGATATGGGCCTAACATGCATACATTATCTATATAAGATACCTACCTTCTCTCAAAGCTTGTTTCAACAACGTTTTCTTCCTCACTTGGGAAAACAAAACAAAAAAGACACCTAATGTGAAAATAACAAAAAAAATATACAAGAAACACAGAACAGTTTAACTACTCTTTGAAATTCACTGACGGTTACCCTACAGTAAAAGATTAGGTTGGTTATCACAATAAGCCTGCTATGATGTGAATCCCAGACAAGTTTAAATTGTAGCAAAATAATAAGTAAAAAAGAAAAAAAATTAAGTGTTACATTTGAGGTAAGAAATTTGTGAAAATTAACAGTTACATACAATAAAGGATATTAAATACTATTTTTATTTTAAAAAATATGTATTATTTTATAAAACTGAGATACTTGAAATGAAATACTATGCTGAAAAAATGGCAGCTTTAATAGCAGAACATTAAAAGCTGGAAATATGTTTTTCACTAACTGAAAGAAAATGCGAAAGCTTAAATAAAAGTGGAACTCAAGCAAGATCATTGCCATGGATGCTCAGCAACATCTCAAAAAATCCTAAGAGAAAACAATTGTAAAACAACAGAGATTGCTAAGGATCCCATGGATGATTTTTTAAGCATGATTAAATTTTTCTTGGACAGTTATCATAATTTAGCTGAGCACTATATACTCATTAAAAAAGGAAATCACAAGTGGACTCAATAAAGTTGAAATTAATAAAAATTTAGATAATGTAACAACATTTAGGTAGATTTATCTTGTTGTGATTATTTCTTATTATTTTTCAAATATATTTTAACTACTTGATTTCCCCAGTTTGAGAAAAACTTAATAAAATAATAACAAAAGGAAGTGCTTATTAACAACCTTCAATAATAAACAGTCTTTTTTATTTCATGATAAATTATTAACATTGTTGAGATTAACAGGTAGAGCTCAATGTGTCTATATATGATTTAAGTGTGGTAAATTTACTTTAATACAGAAGGATAAATAGAGTTTCTTTTCAAGAAAAGCCATTCATTATTAAAGCAAGTCACTTACACAAAATATATGGTATAAATTCACAGAATCTCATCGCAACGAATATAATGATATTTGTATTTGTCAATTATTAAAATGTTTCAAAGCTACACAGTACCGGTAGTTGTTGCTTGTAAAGGCAAAACTGATTGAACTGCTGACTGTTAACTGATTCGTTCAAAATTTGACAACATTTAAAAGCAAAAAACTTAGTAACATTTGTTTTTGTCAATTATAAAAAATAAATCGAATTATATATTATGACTTATTGCCTCTTGTTTCTGCACTGTCAGTAGGCACGCTCCAAAAATAGGAACCGGGCCTGGCAACGTAAGCTGATTAGTGATAGTTGAACGATTCGGTACCTCACTCAAACCATTCCAATACTACAGTATGACAAGATTGATCATTTTAATTCATAGTATGGTTCGTTTGTGTTTGAAAAAGACTGTAAATGTAAATCCTACTTAATGAATTTTGGTCATATATTGATGAAATAATGATCAGTAATTAATAGACAGTGAACGCTTAAATACTGCAATATGTTTTTTTAACAGTAAAATTCTTGCCGACTGTGCATGAACGAACATTATTAAAAATAATATCATAAGCAGGATCCCCTGCTTAGATTACAAGCAAAAAACCTGCTTGTAAATTTTACAAAAAAAAACTAAATTTGTCACAGTTTTTAAATAGTGAGAGCAGTTTTCAATTCCGGTTTGTGTTTTTTAACTTGTGTCTTGGGTCATTAAGGAGTCATTGCATTTAAGATGCCTTATTAAATTTGGTTACTGAAGTAGACATCTCATCTGTATGGACCAGCTGTAGCAAATTTCATTTAATAAGGAACGTAGTTGAATGAGCCACTTACAATTGCAGCTATAAACTAGCTGATTTGGTTAGTTAAAATAGTGCTAGTTTTGTAACTGCCATTCAACTTTTTCCTCTGAAGAAGCCCCTTGCAGGAGTGCAATATCAAATTTATTGTGTTGTGAACATTATTTGCGGTCTTTTAACTACCTACAACTCTAATATTTAGTTAGTAACGTAGCCATTCCTTCTTCCTTAATTTATACTTTACAAGTTGTCCTTTCAGTTTGACATAGTTAAAAATTGAAAATATGACAGGAATCAGTGCACTCTGTTTATGGCATAATTCAACCACGTTAATTTTAATTCTAAAACTAGCTACAATCTTAACATGGGAATGGTGTGTATAGTTCTGTTCATAGTCACAGTTTTAAATCAAATACTTTAATTCTATAGGTTAAACAATTTTAAAATGTCTTTCTTCAAAAGAGAACTCTATTTATTGTATGTGTTGTACACTCACCCGCAGCTTGACTCCTCAGTTTGATGGCCGAAGTTCGTTGTTGCATCTGCTGTTGTTCAAGGTAATTATCTAAGCCGCTCGAACTCATTGCCATTGATCGGTCCACACAGTTTAGCTCTAGACAGTGACAAGTTAAGCAATTACTGTCAGAAGCTATAGGCAGTATGCTGACTTTAAAGCTGTACAAATTCTCCAAACACTAGTACGCAAGATGATACCGCGTAGTACATGATGACGGTACTATATTAAAATACCCCCGCCGCAGCAAACCTGCAGACTAAGCAAATTTAAACTTGTCTGATTACATTTTTACTAAAATATTTCCATAAATAAGACATATTTATTCCCAATTTAAATAACATTAGATTTAACCAGTGCTTAGGTTTGCTGCTACGGGGAAGGTTAAAAGTGTTTTTGTCAATAGTATAGAATGAAATAAATAAATTTGCCAAATTTTATCAACATATATCCATAGGCTAAACAAGTAAACTACAACAGTTTTCATTTTCTCCATAAGAATAACATGGGAATTTTAAATTACACTTTTTTTTATTTTCTCCGTGACCGTTTGGCATAAAACAGCGCTTCAATATACCAAATTATTTCTTTTTTCAAGCTCTACAAAATGGTTGAGAAAGAAATTGCAAAAATTCTTATTTTTAGGGCATAAAACCCCCCATAAACCCCTGTTCCCATGGTCCGATTATGCTGGTTCGCGAACTCGTTCGAATAAACGTAGGTTTACACGTTTGTACCAAATTTCATCAAAATCGGATCATTTTTGCTTGAGTTATCGCGCTAACGGACACATATATAAATATATATATATATGAATTTGAACGGATGGTGTTTTTGGCCTCTGGGGACCTCAAAACGAAAAAGTAAATCGGTCCCGGGTCTAGGTCTTACCATGAGACCTACGGTAATAGCTTATTCCCTATATGGGAAATTCGCTAAAACAAGATGGGGTGGTAGAGCCATTTTGTAGTCATATTTCAACAAAACATGCTGATATATTGGCAATTTATTAGGGGTCTGCGGTGCAACGAAAAGGTCGGTATGGTACAAGCTTATAATTACGGTCATCGGGTACAGCATTTTACACAAATTCGGTTCGGTACAGCCTATTATAATAATAAATTACTTTCAGTTTACAATCGTCCAGAGCACATAAAAGTCTTATCAGATGTTTGTTTACGATCTTCATAATTTATTACTAGGGTGATGATGCAATAAAAACCCCATTAGCAGTCCCAAATCCATTAACATTTTATCACAATAATTGTTGTATTCAAGTACTTCCAAGAACTGTTGAGTTTTATCACTTTTATTTCTTTACGACTTTCCCCAATTCTATTTTATCATAAAAATAATAGTTTTATGATGACTGTTAAATGTTATCTCTAACTCTGTCAGTATTTTCGTGGATATTCAATTTGCCGCTGGGCATTGCCTACTGCCATAAAACTGTTTGTGGCTACATATTTAACTTGTAACTAATCTACAGTCTTATTTTATAAGTTAAAATATTTGTTATAGATATTTTATCTTTCTATTGACAACCACAAGCATAGTTGTTGTTGTTTGCATAATTTTTTTCGTTATTCAAGCTTACTGGTCTCAAATTATGTCATTGCATGTTCTGTATCTCTATATTTATACATCTTGTCTTATATTGTTAGGTGTGGCTGTTTAAGGCTTAAATGTTTTTTAGTTTCCTTTTTTTTTGTGTTGAAGGTACTTTATGCAATCTAAATCTTATGAACTAGATAGTGATTTTGCTACCCTCATTGTAACCTAATAAATTTATATATAGGCCCTCCTAAATAATTAGGTCTAGGCCTGGGTCTTTTGATTCTTTGGAAGAGCTTTAAAATATACTAAGAAAATTGGATTGAGCCTGAGATAAACTAATGATTGATATGATTGATATTATGGATGGTAACTTTGTAAATGACAATAATCTTACTCTGTGATAGTCCAAATTTTAGTTTCAGAAAAAAACTTTGCAAGAGTTGTATCCATCTTATAAATAGTTTTGAAGCTGATAAAAAAAGATGCTCTTTGCCATTACTTCCATCATAACCTCCAGTGAACAGCTGGCAACTACACTGTCATCGTCCTGAATGCTTTTATATGTTTTTAAAAATTAAAAAAAACAACTAGACATTGTGTTGGTTGGAAATAATTTACCAGTTGTCTGAAATTATCTTTGCCAATAAATGTTTCAAACATGTTTATTCCTAAAAGCTCTTATCCTATTTTTAAAAACAACTTTTATCATGGCTATTCAAAGTATCTCAGAGTAAAATAGGTATAGCCTTTATCTTAACTGTGATTTTTCTTGATACAATCCTCGTATTAGTAAAAGGTTTTGTTGTTTTGTTTTAATAATGTGTGGTACAGTAATTGTTGTTAGAAAACCATGAATGTAGGATACTATCCATTTTCATAGTTATGTCAATGTATTAAAGTTAAAAAATAATGGTTTGAATACAGTTCTGAGCAGAAAACCACAAAAATACGGGTAGCCGCCTACCGTAACGATTTTGTACCGAGAACCGAGGTAAAAAATATTGTACCGTACCGACCTTATATTTTCTGTACCGCAGACCCCTACAATTTATGATTCATGAAGGTAGGAAGATCAAACATCTTAAAGGTTTATTTCGTTTCACTTTAGAACTTGAACGCTTAGTTTATATGATCTCGCAAAAGGGGGGACTTCTAGACTAGACTAGGTTATGGAACAACATGCTTATTACAATGTTCGTAGTAGCCACAAAACATTCTAAAAAGTTCTGAATATTCAAAATAAAACTGGATATTAAAGACTCAAAAATTTGCAAAATGTTATCTAATTATTTTTGTAGGAATTAGATAACTGTGGATTCTTGAGATATTAAAGCCACTGCATAAATTTATATAATATGACCGCAATTGAAATTCAGGATGTAGCCATAACTGTGCGGTAGACTATCATGAAGTTAACGCAAACCTGGAAGTAGGGATGGTCAAGTCTCGAAATTTCGGGAAATTTTCGGGAAATTTCAAATCTCGTTACACGAGACGAGATTTCTTTTTGGCCGAGATTTTTATCGAGACGAGAATAAAAAAAAAAAATTAAAAAAAAAAAATTAAAAAATTAAAAACGCCTACAGAAAGTCAATGCAATACCCGCAATACAGGAGCGTGTTGTAGTTGCGTTTCCTTTAAGAAGGCGTTCTTATTTAATTAATTCTTTAAATGTAAATATTACTTTAATTATTTTAATAATATTACTTTAATAACATTTGAGAAGTTTTGTTAAGTGTAAGCAGTGTGAGGAATGTTTTATTACTATAAAAAGTCAAAACAAGTAACTATTTTATAAAAATTAATATTGCTTTTATTTTATGATTTATTTTATTTTAGGATAAGTTGAACTCTATCCTAACTGATATCACTATGTTTCCTAATCGTAGGCATTTTTAATAAGTTAGGCGTGATTAATAAAAAAATGTTATGCTGATGTTTTTTAATAAAAGATTGTAAATATTCTTGCCTATTATCATTATTTTTGTATTTAAACAGTCATCTAACAATGTTACAAAATCAGGTAAAAATTTTGAACGTGCATTTCCCGTTGTGTATGAGAAGGGAAATCCCGTCTCGATCTCGTCTCAAAATTTTATGAGAAATAAAAAATCTCGTCTCGTCTCGTCTCGAACTAAAAATCCAATCTCGTCCATCCCTACCTGGAAGATAATCACAATTTCACAAGACTGCAGGAGATTTTAGGGTCTGTATTAAATTCAAATTCATGACATTTTGAGAAACTTTAATACTGCCAGTATCAAAAGTTTTAAGTAATCGAGGACAGGGATTGGCCTGTTCCTATTTTTGAAACCTCTTACCTAGAAAACCACAGCTTATCCCGAGTTTCTTCAAAGATGACAAAATCCACGTTCATTTACTTTTATAAGGTTTTCAAGGTTAAGTGGGTAGCCTACCCTATCTCCGGCAATTGGCTAATGTCCACACTGGCAGAATAGCCTTGTGCCTATTAATAATTCTTATTACATTTTTAGCAGTGTTTCCGCTATCCTTGAAATAACAGCAACTCTAGTCCGCGCCCGGTAATCTGGCACTGCTGAAGTCCTGAATGAGTATCTTCTGCATTAAGAATACCTGGGGTGGAGGGAACGGAGTCGGGTGAGGTTTGCACTTCCTGATGGAGGCCACTCTTCTTCCACACAGCGGCAGTTGTAGCTCTCTCTGCTTTGCTCTGGGACCTTTTGATGGCTGCCATCTCCAGCATGAGCTCCTCATGACGGACATTCTGCAATTCCGCTTTCTTTTCCAACTCTCGGATCTTGGACTGTAAAATTACAAGGAAATCGTTATTTTAAGAGGCTTTCGATTTGATTCTCTTCAACTACCCTCTAAGAAGTCCCCCGGACTCTAAATTTCTCAGGTAAGATAGTTGGACCTTATTTCTTTGAGTTTATTGAAAGGGTAATGAATGGTACTGCAAACTCTATGTCTTCCATGATTGTTTTCACAGTGTCAACTGTGTAGTTTAACCTTTCCACGTTTCAAATACCTTTAAAATTTTGTTTGAGATTATATGCAACAAGGAGTAACAACCATAGGACGACCACGATGAATATAAACTCTCTGTAAATAGGGCTTTCTTTAATATAAGTAAATTTCAGGTGGAGACAAGGTATTAGTAGTAAGCTAAATGTATAAAACTATGCTAGTGATTCATTAAGAATTTATTTAGTCCTAGGACGCTAGTCACGAGCCCGGGATTGTTTTTCACATTACTTATATATATATATATATATATATATTTATTTATTTCCAAAAAATACAAATTTACAAAACACATACAATTCAGCTACAAAAGCCATTTATGGCTTGTCTGCAACAATGATTACAATTTTTGTTATTTCATACTGCTTTTTTATTCAATCAGTCTTTTGTTTCCCTTGTTTTTCTGTAAGTAAACTATACCATGACACAGCATTCAATAATATACCAAACCAATCATAGAATTTAAAGTAGTCAGATTTTAACAACTACATGACTCCTCACGGTACTTCACGCTAGACCTAGGGATTGCGGAATTATCACTTAGATAAAATCTATTGGTGATATGGGGAGCGAGCTGGCGTTACAGCGTGGGACTTCAGTCCCTGAGGTCCCGGGTTCGATCCCCGCCAAGTCACCAATGGATTTTATCCAAGTGATAATGCCGCAACCCCTAGGTCTAGCCTGAAGTAATGTGAAAAACAATCCCAGGCTCGTGCCTAGTGTCTTAGGAAAAAAAATTGGTGATTTGGCGGGATTTGAACCTTGGGAACCGAAGTCCCGTGCTCTAACCACTGGACCAGCTCGCTCCCCAATTCATTAAGAATATTGAGATACCGGTAAATATTTTCAATGGACACTATTATGCTATGGATCAATGGAATTATACTCGAGGATTTGTAAAATACTTTAAACAAATCACATTGAACTTGCTCAGTGATAATGTCTTGAGCTGATAAGTCAGACTGTTGAGGGTACTGTATAACAAAAATAATAATTCATAAAAACCCCTTTTTATGAAAACTAACCTAACTAAATGTGTCCAAAACACAAGCTACTGGTGTAATAAGAGCACTGTTCCCCTCTTTTCCTAACGAGGTTATAGTTATTAGTCTAGAAGGATTACCTGAAGGGTCTCAATACTCTCATAGGCCTTGGTCTTGTCACTTGTGTTGCCAAATTTACGTTGGATTTCATTTTGTTTTTCCCTTAGCTGAGTTAAGGCTTCAGTATGCTCACGTTCCAACTCTTTTCTTTTGTCAGAAGCTTCTCGCATTTGCTATAAAAAAATCAATGGTTAGAGAAGAAATTATAGTTAAGAAGTACGGTAGTGTTTAAACATGTAACATCATTGGTACCTACAAATTCATAATCTTAAAATAAAGCCGTAACGGTATCAGCACATACTACAAGTTTCTGGCTTTGCAGCAATGGAGAGCATATGTGTTATCTTATTTAAGATATAATAAAAACCAATAGTGGTGTGTGTTGTTTGGTTATTTTGTACATGGTTACTAATAAATTAATATTATAATTTTAAATTTGTGTTAAAATATGTGTAGTTTAAGTGCACAGGATCAGTTAAAGAGTGAAGTGAAGAGTAGTAGAGAGCGAAACTCTTTGGCAATACTTCTCTAGAATAGGCATGTCGAATCTCTTAATATTATTTTATCAATTTATTATTCTCTTATTGAGAAATAATTTCATTTCAAAGGGCTGTCTTGTTATAAAAATATAACCTATCTATAATTTATTATTTATAGGGGAAACTGGGACAGTATAGCTCATGCTACTAGCATAGCCGCCATGACAGTTTAGGAGCTCTGGTTTGTGCTGCAACCTAGCGGCTGCACGGAGTACCACATGCGCTGCCAGCGGGACACCATTCGACTTGTTGGGCAGCATGAGTTTGTGTTTTTTTCACTGTTTCGTTTTCAATTTCTCAAGTTATTAGAAGTGTTCTTACCACGGCACACTTGCAGTGTCCTACCACTAAAAGTGATTTTAATGAAAGTGAGTTGTACATATTTTTAAGTAAATATCTATATAATAGTTGAACGTTAAGCTTATGTAGTAGTTTACTTACAAAGATTTTAGGTTAGCCGTTAGAACAACACAGCGTCAGAGCTGGACTTCTGATTTACTCAAATCGGCATTAAGCAGCCATTAAAAATGGATAAATGAAAAAATGGGCTAAATAAGAAAACAGGGAAGAAATTTGGAATTCTGGAATCAACATTACGGTCACCCCGCATTTTTATTTACATTTTTATTTACATTTTTAAAGACATGACGCGATCTATCTGACATTGTCAGTCAAGGATTAAGAATACAAGTATTCAAGTAAGTAAGTAAGTAAGTAAGTATTCATTAAAAGTAGTTGATGATGGAGATTTAGCTCCAGCATTAGAACGAAAACCTGTTTTCACACCGGAACAAGAAAAAGACATTTCAGACTACACTCCAAAACATAAACCAATCCCACAAGATTAAGGCCACAATACACAAAAATACATTTTCAGGGTAGAATAGGGAAAAGAAAGCTTTAAGCTAATAAAATTTTTATTTTTTTCTGCTTATGAACAAATGTGCATTTTTAGTGTAAGGTTATGTTCAACCAACAAACAAACACGACTCAAGCTTGTCAAGCAACTCTTTTTTTCTCTCGACACTCACTCACTCCACTACCACCACCACACGACATAAACTCACAAATCCAAAGACAACAAAAGATTGCAATCTAGGTGAATGCCGTTGGTTATATGAGCTTTCACTCCTACCTTTTAATTTGTTATTGTTTATTCGTTACACTTCTTTTAAACGCTTTTAGAAAGTTTAGCTGCAAAAACACTCTTGCTATTAATAGGTGCCTGCCACAAACCGCCTTAGAACTAGTTTTCATAATTCCTTGTACTTAGAAAACAAAACTAAAGAAAAAAGAGAAAAATCTGTAAACTTTGTTTTGTAATTTTTTTGAATCTATTGGTCCTCGCCGACAAGTTTTGTAAACTTGGCGAGGCCATGCTTGTAATATCCTAAATAAATATATTTGAATTTGAATTTGACCATGTAATAAACCTAGCAAACCGTTTTTACGTGCTTACCCCAATTGAACTTAATTTAACTTTATTTTAACATTTTCTGTAGCCTATTTAATATTTTATATAACATATGTTTAACAAAACATGTAACAAATGTGACCTTGTCTATTGTAATTTTTATATTACCAAATGACAATAAAGATTTATTATTATTATTGAATTGAAGCATCTGCCTTTTGGGTTTGCCAAAAAGAATAACATCAAACACAATTTTTAAAGAGAGCAAGGCGTATCTGGCAGTAGCGTAGCCAGGATTACGTTAAGGGGGGGGGGTTATTTAACGTGACCATGCCGGGGGGCCTGGGGGGTATGGAATACCCCCCAGTGTAGAGGGGGGTCCGGGAAAAATTTTGAAAAATAATAGCTGTAAACTAGCGTTTTTATGCAATCTAGACATATTAATTTTTAAAACATAAATTGATTTTTAATTGAGTTTTTATTATATTTAACCTATTTGATTAAGGTGTTTAAACATGAATTTAAATTTGTTACCGTTTTACAGAAGAATATTAAAAATGTAACTAAAATAGTTTCTTAATAGTTTTGCCTGCTTTTCATTTTGCTCACTTTGGCCTAACTTCCGTTTCTTCCCAGGCCGCTTACAATTATCATCACTCATTCTTCAGGACTATCTTAGTTAATTCAACTTCAGATATGTAAATGTAATTAATCACAAGGATAATGATGAGATAACGTAATATTTCAGCACCCAATAATCGATACGTAATTTATCTAAAAGTTCACAACCTCAAATCACGGTCAATTGTTTTACAACGCACGCAGTAACGCAGTAAGGGCATCAGTGATCTGTCTAGTGTGAGTGTCTATGTGACGTGACTACTGAACTGACACTACTGACAGTGACCCTAACACCCTAACCAACCAGACTACTCTCCCGCGCAAAATGACGGCTAGCGAATCCACAGTGGGAACGGGGAGCGAGTAGAACTGGTGGAAGTGGAACCACTAGTACTGTTCCAGCTCTGACTACATGGCTACATGTGATAGAATCAATGCCCGCCCCCGTACCATCAACCAGCTTTTGGTGAATATAGTCGTAGTGTACGCCTTTTGCCGTGACATGAAAAATGTTGTAAAACACTTAATATATTTCTAAGACTAGGTAAATTGTTTGGCACTTTCTTTATTTACTGGTTAGCATAAAAGTATACTACGAAAACATATTTACTTCAACAGTAAAATATATATATATAGGGACACCCAAGGGGGGGGTTGTAACCCCCAAAACCCCCCCCTTGGCTACGCCACTGGTATCTGGGTATGATTGGCTTTATTTACCTCTTCTCAAAAAGAATCCCAAATTCTTTAAGCTTAGAGAACACAAGCCTATAGTTACAATATCCTCAGAGGAAACAAACTTAAAACTAAAACTATTCTAGATGTATTTGTTGTAGATGTTGTTTGGTAAAAAAAAGTCTTATAACCTGTATCAGGTACACTATTATTCACAAGGACAACTAAATAGGTATTTTGTGTATTAAGAGCGCAAAGTATGTCATTGCCCGTCAAGAACTGTAGTAACATTTAAAGAGCCGCATAGATTTTTTGTGCTCGTAATACACACAAGACTTTAACACTATAATTAACATATCATAACACACATATTAATTTCTTAGTTGTACAGTATATCAAATGTCATTTAGGCTATGTTTGTTTTTAAGGTTATGTTATTTGCTTACCGAATGTTAGTGTTTTATAGAAACGCCAACAATGAAATCAGCTAATAGCGTATTTTGCGTACTGTTTACAGGTGTGGCAATGTGATCATTTCCATGCAGTGGTAAAAAAAAAACTAAGAAAATAATCATTGAAAGTACCAGGACTGATAGACTGATCCAAATTTGTTTGACTTTGTATTGCTGCCCGAACCCTTATTCATAATTTACCACAATGCTTTTGTAGGCTTAATTTACCCCTTTTCAGCCTCCTTGAAGTTAGCCCTATAAGTATTCTTAGTTGTATTGTAACAAAGTTACTTTCATTACCACTGTAAATGTCATAAAGAAAGTCCTGTCTTTTTAGCGAATTTCCCATATAGGGAATAAGCTATTACCGTAGGTCTCATGGTAAGACCTAGACCCGGGACCGATTTACTTTTTCGTTTTGAGGTCCCCAGAGGCCAAAAACACCATCCGTTCAAATTCATATATATATATATTTATATATGTGTCTGTTAGCGCGATAACTCGAGCAAAAATGATCCGATTTTGATGAAATTTGGTACAACTACAAACGTGTAAATCTATGTTTGTTCAAACGAGTTCGCGAACCACCATAATCGGACCATGGGAACAGGGGTTTATGGGGGTTTTATGGGGTAAAAATGGGTTTTTCCCATTTTTTACCCTAAACACAAAAAAATTTGTTATTTCTTTCTCAACCATTTTGTAGAGCTTAAAAAAAGAAATAATTTAGTATATTGAAGCGCTGTTTTATGCCTAACGGTCACGGAGAAAATTCAAAAAAAGTGTAATTTAAAATTCCCATGTTATTCTTATGGAGAAAATGAAAACTGTTGTAATTTACTTGTTTATGGATATAATGTTGATAAAACTTGGCAAATTTATTTATTTCGTCCTATACTATTGACATATGGTCAAAAATCACTTTTTACCTTCCCCGTAGCAGCAAACCTAAGCACTCGTTAAATCTAATGTTATTTAAATTGGAAATATATATGTCTTATTTATGGAAATATTTTAGTAAAAATGTAATCAGAGAAGCTGAAATTCGCTTAGTCTGCAGGTTTGCTGCGGCGGGGGTATTTTAGTATACAGTGCTCCCCAGTATACCATTTCTTTGTGACAGAAAATGTTTTACCATTTGATTTAAAATTTTTACTCACTTCTTATTTTTTGTACTAATATTATTAACATATACTGTAATATTAAGATAGAATGTCATTAAAATAATTAAAGCTAGTATTTAGTGGCGCTGAGAGATTAATTTCTAAACAATAAATATCTTACCCTGAAAATGTCAACTGAGCAGTGAGTACCTGTGTCCACAGTTGTAGTCGAGTATTTATTTTTTATGTCTTGTCTAAATGTTTGTATGTTTGTGTTTAGTGCTCAATATGAGGGAATATTGATCAAGGATTTGAAGAAGGTGACATAGTCTCCATAACGGTCGTCATCTACCCTTAGAGAAGATATCAGGAATAAATGTTGTCGAAATAAAGGTAATTTTACCTCTTATTTCTAAACAGTTTGTGTTTTTGGTTGATTGGGACATAAATATATGTATACACTATTTTTAAGAAATTTTAAGCTGTTAGTATTTTGTGTTATTGTAAAGTGTTGCAACTGTTTGAAGAGCATCAAGCTCAAACTGCTTTTCAGTGAAAAAGAGCAGGAGCTGGTTTGATTGAAAAATTTACAAATTCGACTTATCACTTATCTAGTTGTAGGCCTATAATTTGAGGGTCAATTTTCTCATTGCCCCAGCCAGTTTCTATATTTTAAAAATTATTATTTTTCCTTGAATATGGATAAATTACCTTCAAAATTCCCTCCAGCTTGTCTCCTTGCCGGAGGTTGTCCCCAGTCTTCACCTAAAACAAACACAGAGAACATGGTATTAGATATGGGAAATACCTTACTTTGCAATAATAGTCAGAAATTGTTCTTAGCTTTGCAGTTTTATCACCTATTACCATTTATTTTTAAATACTATTATTATTGTCACCTTTTACTCCCTCATCGAGGTTGTTTAAGCCGGGTTGCTGTCAATACTAAGTCTAAACTCTCTGCAGGATACTTGGTTTTTGCAAAAATCAAAAGCTTTCCAAACTGGCCAGCAGTAATTGAATCAATAAGCCTGGAAGGAAAAAATAAGACACTAAAATACAGCATAACATTTTTTGGAGACTTCAAAACAGCACTAATTAATAGAAGTGCTCTAAGTTCTTACAGTGAGCACAAAGCTATATGGGATACCAAAAACAGAAAATGCTAGAAACAGAAAATTAAATGAAGCCCTTAAACAAGCTGAAGATATGTTTAGACTAAATACTACTACCACGTTCACAGAAACACCCCTATGAGATTCTGAACTCCAAAACAAATCCAAATACTTGCCAAGTAACTCTAACAATTTTAACAAATCACATACCGGGGAAATTTTTTTATCAGAAGGTATTCAACAAACCATGAATAATGATAATACTAGAAGGAGTACGCTCCGAAGTCACGAATAAACAAAGACCATTCCATACACACAAATGTTTTTTTAACAGTAAACAACTATATTCATATCAGTTGATCAGATGTTGAAGCAGATGTTCAGGCACTAAGCTGCATCATATCCATAACACTTTTTCACCAAAGCACTTTCTCTACTGCACTTTGGGCTTGCCGCTTTGGAGCAGGACCAGGAATCAGGGAGTTTGGTTTATGCCATGTAAACCTTGGTCCAAGGTCATAAGGCAGGTTAGAGAAAATCGACAAAAAGAACAGGAAGATATTTCCAAAGTTTGGATGTATAATTAAAGAATGTATTTTGATTTATTACTAAAAAAATTAATTGCTAGAATGTGCTGAGTAATATAGCTTTATTCATCATTGCCTCCAGGATTGAATATTGACAATATAAAATAGGTTTACATACCTTAAATACGTCATTAATCCTAATTTTTAGTCTGGGCGACTAGTTTCGAAACCACGGTTTCATCGTCAAGCCTCTATTGCTTCATTAAATCAAAATCATTGGAGCATAATGTCGTCGTCAATACACAGTCAACACATAGCACACACAAACTTGGATACGATACATTTATATAAAATAATTCGTGGCCAGCCATAACACGTGCGGTGACGGACTCGATGCAACTGAAATCGATGTGTTGCAACTAGTCGCCCAGACTAAAAATTAGGATTGATGACGTAATTAAGGTATGTAAACCTTTTTTAAATTGAATATAGGTTTGTAAATCCCAACTCCAACAATTATTTCACTCATGAATAAGACCATTCAGGACAAAAAAAAAAACAAAACAGCAATATCATTAGAATTTTTTGAGTATGTCACGGCTAACAGTGTGTAAGAACATTCCCCACGTGACCCATAAGAATGTCAAAAACCACATTACACAAGAATTTAATCTTGTGTGGTGTGGTGGGAGAGGAAAACCTATTTTGAAGCAGCATATACTGCTGATTTTGTTATGTGGATGATCAAACAAATGATTAACAGGAGAGGGGTACATGTATTTTTTTCTCCTGCTATCTCACCTCCAACCATCCCATTGCAGAGTAGCCAAATGCCAGAAGGTCGACGACCTAGAGGAGAAGATACTGAACATTGATGGTGAGGTGACTGTTTGTGGGGATTTCAATGATAGGGCAGTGGATTGGGGTTTACCCCATAGAAACATGGGGGGGAGAGTGTCTTAGAGATGGCAAGGCTAGGTATCCATATCCTTAACACGGGTAGATGATCTCTGACACCTCTCTGGCATCTGAAGCCCTAGCCCACCAGTCACGGACTGGCGAGTCTCCGAGGACTACTCTGCAAGCAACCATCAGGCAATCGTCTTCAGGGAACTTCCTGAGCGCAGGTATGCATATGCCAACTCAGCTCATCCGTCTCGATATTAGAACCTTGGTCGTCTTCGCCGGGCCACTTTTCAGTGTTGCATCAAAAATCAAACTGTTGGGGACATTGGAAGTGCCGAATTTCGTGCCACGTTGGCGATACGTCTCACTCTATTCAGCGTGTGACCCTTCCATGCCCAGGATTTCCGCCCACCGCGGGAAGAAGCCAGTTTACTAGTGGAATCCCAAGATTGCAGAACCCCGGAGAATATACCTTGGGCTCCGACGGGCAGCGCAACATGCCAGAAACCAGACTCGATGACCACCTACGATCATGAAACCTGTCGCCGTGGCTACTGTCATCGACGCGTATTCCAAAGCATTCAGCATGACCATCGAGGGAATTCGGAGATTTGGGCGTGTTCCCAGCCCAAGGAAGAGGAATGGCTCTGAGAAATGGAAGAGCACCTGGCCCTGATGGCATTCCTGCAGAAATCCTGAAGCTTATAGGTGTTCATTAGACTGTTTTGTAAAGATTTATCATTTTTTAATGAAAGGCTAAAGGTTTTATTAAATTTTATCTTATCAAATTAGAAAATAAAATTCTTTTTAACAAGATGTTTGACATCAGAACTATCCATTGTCCAGTTGGTGACATTGACCTTGGGGGAGGGGGTACGTCAGCTGATAAAGACTTGTAGTAGCTCTGATGTCAATGTTTTCAATTCCAAAGGACACAGAAAGTCAATGGAGAGACATAAGGAATACAGGATAGGGAAGAGTATTTAGGCTTCCAAGATGTAAGGCGTAAAGAGTGGATAACAGAGGAATCATGGAATCTCATGGAATCATGGAAGCAGTGTTGAATAACAGCCGCACAAGAAGACAAAAAGGCTGAAGCCCTGAGAGAATACAATGAAGCCAATCGAAGAGTTAAAAGAAGATTGAGACACGATAAGAGGGACTTCATCAACCAGTTGGCAGCAGAAGCTCAAACAGCAGCCGATGTTGGAAACTCCAGAGAATTGTATAAGATCACTAAACAACTTTCAGGGAAACATTTGAGACGGGATAAACCAGTGAAGGATAAGGAGGGGAAAATTCTAACCTCAGAACAAGAACAAATTAGGAGATGGCATGAACACTTTCAAGAAGTCCTGAATGTGGCAGGAGGTATAGAAGTGAATGAGAATTACGAAGAAATAGGGAACCAAAGAGTAATCCCTGATCACAGAATATCAGAAGAACCACCAGGGTTAGAGGAAATAGAGGAGGCAGTACGAGAATTAAAACACGGAAAAGCGCCCGGCATTGATAACATCCCAGCTGAAGCCTTGAAAGTAGAACCAGTTCTATCAGCCCGCATCTTACATCCTCTTTTGGTCAGTATATGGAATTCAGAAAGAATCCCGGATGAATGGAATAAAGGTGTCTTAATAAAGCTTCCCAAGAAGGGTGATCTCTCCAACTGCAACAATTGGAGGGGTATAACGCTTCTTCCTGTTTGTAGCAAAATCCTTGCTCGAATTATTTTAAATAGAATTAAACAGCCTATAAACGATCAAATTAGAAAGGAACAAGCGGGATTCCGGCAGAACAAATCTACCGTAGACCATGTAAATACATTGAGAATAATCTTGGAGCAATTTTCAGAACACCAAGCTGCTTTGTATCTGGTCTTCATTGACTTTGAAAAAGCTTTTGACTCGATCAACAGACAGAAGATGTGGAAAGCAATGAAGGTTTTTGGTGTGCCTCCAAAGGTGATAAGGCTTGTAAAAGCCATGTATGAGAATTACTCCTGCAAAGTAGAGCACTGCAAGTCTTTGTCGGAGCCAATAACCTGTAACTCAGGAGTCAAACAAGGATGTTTTTATCACCTATTCTCTTTCTCATGACTTTAGACCTAGTAATGAAGGAAGCAATGAACCGTAATAGGGGAATCCAGTGGGGGATCAATTCAAGGCTTGAAGACCTGGATTTTGCTGATGATCTTTGCATTATGGCCCAAAGCTTCAGAGATATAGAAGCTAAACTAAATGACCTAAGAGTAGAAGCACAGCAGGTGGGCCTGAAAATAAATGCCAGAAAAACCAAGGAAATGAGGTTAAATAACCGGAACAACACTCCCCTCAGAACAGGAGAGGATGATATTGAGCGGGCCAATGAATTTTGTTATTTGGGCAGTATGGTGACTGAAGGAGGAGGTGCCGATCGGGACATGGAAAACCGCTTGAATAAAGCAAGAGCTGCATTTGCCCAGCTGAGGCTAGTTTGGAGGAGCTCTGAAATAAGAATAAAAACTAAACTCAGGATCTTTAACTCAAACGTTAAGTCTGTCCTCCTTTTTGGCTGTGAGACATGGAAGGTGACAAACACGAGCACACGCAAACTGCAGACTTGGGTTAATAAATGTTTACGAACCATTCTCAGGGTGTGGTGGCCGGAAGTCATCTCTAATGAAGATTTGTGGGCCAGAACCAACCAGGAGCATATTGCTATTCAAATAAATAGGAGAAAATGAAGATGGATTGGGCATATTCTTCGGCAACCACAAGATACAGTAGCGAGACAAGCCCTGGAATGGAACCCACAGGGAAATAGAAGAAGAGGGAGACCAAGAACCACATGGAGGCGGACTGTGGAGAAGGAGTTAAATAGTCAGGGCATGACATGGGCTAGGGCAAAAGAGCTGGCCAACCAAAGGGACCGCTGGAGAGTGTTCGTCGAGGCCCTATGCTCCCCCTAGGAGCGCAAGGAAATAAGTAGTAAGTAGTAGTAAAGCTTGGATGGTAGCTATTTGTTTGGTAATGAAAGCAGAACAAATCAAATTTGCAGTTCGAAACTATGCCAAAAAAAAAATGTTTTCCTAAATATAAACGCATTTTAATGTAATACCAATGAATCTAATTTTTTAAATCACACAACACAAAATGTAAATAAAAAACCATAGCTGTTTACATAAATAATATTATGAGCGAACCACAGAATATTATTTCAACATTTTACAACTAGAATATTAAAGAGTGTAAGAATAACGGAAAGAATATTCTTAGATTACAACCACGATTAATACCAGCAAACACATACCATTTTTATATTTAAATAGTCAGTACCTCTAAATTAATTTTAGTTTCAATAATTGTACCATTTAAATAAGTTTAGTTAAAATTAGCCTATCCAAAAATCACCATCTTAAATTATCGGGCATTTATGCAAAATAGGCATATGGTTATAAATACCCGATTATTTTATGTCATGCATCTTAATTAGTTACATTAATGCACACAGAAAAATATATTTCACTAAAGACTTCCATTATCTGATTTCATACAAACATGGTTTGTTGTGTTTATAGGCGAGCATTGAGACAATGAAATACGCGAAAAATAATTGTTTTGGACGTTATGGTTCAGCCTTTTTTCACGATCATCCTATTGTATGGAAGTGCGTATGTCAGCAGCAGTGGCTTCACATGTGTTTCCAGGCTGTTGTTACCAACGTCTCAACAAAAATTCCCTGCGAATCCCTAGGGCCGGATTTAGCATTGTTGCGCCCCTAGGCCCAAATAATTGTCCGCCCCCTAGTCTGGTCACAGTTACTTTCCTTGAGACCTTTATTAAAAACTATATCATGCCCATAGGCCTAAGTTAATTGCTTGAATACCACCCCTCGTTGGAATCATAGAAATTTTGTTTACGAATTGACTTGTTTAGACTTAACAAAATGCCGTCTTAAACACTTTTAGCAATTTTATGCTTTTAATAAATGCTCACGTTTGTGGCCGTGGGACTGAAATAAAACAACTCAACCCACCGAGCATTCCTGCAAAAAAAACATGGCCATTGATTCCAATTCCAGGACCAAAAACATGAACTCCATACAGTACGTGATACCATAGATTAAACATACTCCTTTAGTAGATTTGTCATCATTTTGGATTAGCTTAAAACAATGCTTGTTATTTAAGGAGTATGTTTTATCTATGTTCAAACCTAGTTTATCCAAAATAAAACGATCTAATCATCAACAATAGGTCGTCTCCTGTTCATATTACAAGAAATTGAAACACACATCTTAGAACTAACCCTAAAATAATAGAAACAAAATTACGTCAAAACTAACGTCCAGTGTCACCAACATGAACCGAACTAGACATAACAAAATTTTGAATTATCAATGTCATAAGAAGTCGACTTGAGTTATATTTAATCTATGGTCGTACTGCATCTAGGTTATATTTCCAAAGCAAAACAGATCAATATTCCGGCCAACCGTACCGATCCTTCTGAGGTCTGAGGAGAAAATTGCAGCATTAATGGTACTTTGGAGGGTATTGAATTGTTCTAAAATCTAATGCAAACTGAGATTAATATATTGTCGTTAATTTTAAAGGTGAATTCATCGTTCTTTTAATATTAAACACAACTTATTATATATTTTTTTTTACTTGATTCTGCAGATTGTTGTAAACTAATCAAAGGATTAAGTTAGTTAATAACTGTTGTTTTGTGAGGTGAGGGTGGTCATAATGCCTAGCACGCATGCGCCCCTAATCACTCTGATCAGTAGTGCCGAGCCCAAGCCAGCATAGTGGCACTTGGCAGTGCAGTGGCAATACGATGCGTACCCCTTGGGCGCTCGTCAACGTCAACATCCCTAATACAGCCTACTCCCGTATAACCAATGTTCGTTACCAATTTTGTAACGAAATTGATGCGTAATTCTGAAAAATAGTTTAAATTTCCTAACAATTATTTCTTCTTATGAACTTCAGAATCACAATGCATTGGAGTTTTTTTTTTATCAACTATGACTATTTTTTTGTTTTTAGATAGCCTAGGTATTAAAAAAATATATATATATTCTCGGCCGTGCGCCCTCTGGGACCTTGCGCCCATAGGCCCGGGCCTACCAGGCCTATTGGGAAATCCGGCCCTGCGAATCCCTGTCATTAGGCTCCGCTTCGGATTTGGTCCCGACCAACAATAAGCTGACTTTCACATCATTAGGCTCTGACTCGTGAACCCATTTTTTGGTCGTCGCTTATATAGTCCGGGACCAACGTCTGGTCACGGACTATGAAGTCCCGAGCTCGTGAACCGCCCCTTAGAGCTCTTTTAAATCAATACATATATTTGTTTTTACAATAGTAACTTACATTTTGAAGCCGTTGCACTTGCTTTTGAAGGTCCTTGTTTTGGATAGTCAGTTCTGTGTTCTTTTCTAATACCCGGACTAGTTGATCCTCCTTAAAACATAACAGAAGAATCAGAGAGTGTATAAATTGGGTTAACTTCAATTATGAAAAATGCCAATCATGGTTATAATTTATGGGCTTCATTTTTGTCTAGTGATATCCAAGACTCGTCAGACATGATAAAACACACATACGCAGACAAAAACATTGCCCAGAATTGACCTGGAAAATGTGTTTGCGTGCAACAACTTGTGTTTCAGACAGCACGGTAGCTTAATTGAAGCTTTGAATTATGCTTCCACTTGCTTTAAATGACAGATTTGAAATATCACATTAGATTCAAACTTGAATCAAGTGTAAACTACCTAAAATTCCATATAGTGCACTTCCCATATGACACTAGTAGACTTGACTGGAATTTAGGGTTTGATCTTCTTACATTTTATTTAGTAAGATTTTGTTATATTACTTAGTTATGTAGATTGTTAAAGCCTTTATTTTGTTGCGTTACTTAGTGTGTTCATTATTTATTGCAAACATCTTTGTCAGCAAATCAGCATTGTAAACCAAGGAGCAGCATAATCACAAAGATTATCTAAAGCCTTGAGTTATATCAAAGCGGTTGTTTGGTCTACAAAACCACCTTTTACTATAGTATTATTGTTCAAGATTAACAAATGTGATTTTGAATTTGTGATTTGTAAAGTAAACATCTAAAAGAATTATCTTCTTATATAGGCTCTAGCGGCCAGTGTCAGGAGAGTTCTTGGTGGTATTTTTTGGCGACTGTGACAAAACTCTGTTGTTAAGTGACGACGCAGTTGACAATAAAATCACCACCACAAACTCTCTAATTATTAGTTTCTTAGTATTAGTTTGAAGTATACATTCGATACAAATTGTTTTCACATGAAATTTAAGAATGTCCCCTAATAATCACTATACTTCACGATTCAAATCATTAAAAGAAGTAATAAAATAAAATAATATATTGATAGAATTAAGTGTCTTACTGCAATTAGTGAAACTTGTCAGAATAACTTAAATAATAGGCCCTACTATTTCACAAAGTTATTTACTCTTAGATTAACTCTTGTACAAGCAGTTAAATAATATGTATATTAAAGAAAGACAATTCAATGACAATAGGCCCTACATCAGTGTCATAAAATATAAAATATAAACCTACTTGTGTATAAGTTTCACATAACCTTTTTGTCATTAACTGTGGAAAAACAAATCTAATAATAATGAATAAAGAATGCTTGATTAGTCCTGATTTTCACCTACCAGTTCGGTGCTGGTGGACTAGCCTTATCGTGTTTCCTTCTTTGAGCTCCTTTCCTGGACCTAAACAATTAAAGACTTTACAAAATATTTTACAACATTTAACCTTGAAAGCACTAATTAATTAACTAAATTAGTGAAAATATTAAAATTTGTTGACATTTTTACAGATAAAATTAAGTATCAAACACTAATTGTACTGTATTTTGTGAAACCTATGTGTGAAATAAACAATTCTGTAAAAATATCTTTTGAAAGTAATCATTTGGTAAATAAATCCGCTATCACTTTGTCTTGAATATTAAATATGTGTTTGTGAATTGTGTAATGACTGTTTTATTTTAATATTCAAGACAAAGCGATAGCGGATAACCTGATAATGTCACTGTGTTGGTGAAACGCGCCGTAGGCTACACCAATTTGGAACGGTAGAAGGTAACATTATATTATTTATTAATAACTGACGTTCCAGTTGTAGGAAATGAATTCTAATAGACATTTGGGTTAATTTTCTTAAACCAAAATGATGATTTCTACTGAAGGAAAAATATTATGCATGAGAGTTGACACATGGCTGGGTAAGAGGAGATAGTGGCTATTTATTACTCTCTGTAGTGTAGTACAATCTTAACAAAAACAAATTGGGTTGGCTGGGTCTACTATCTCGCCTAAGTCAATTGTTAATAAACTAGATTCAGATCCACTTTTCTTGTACATGTTTAAACCCCACAACCCTAGATTACTTGGTTTTGGAAAGAGTTCTAGTAGGCAACAAAATGAATAGTAGGTCCAGAGTATCGAGTACTTGACTATTGAGGTTTCCTCTTATATACCTAACCATGATGTTTTAATAAACGTTTAAATGATAGCTCTATCTAAGATCCTATATCTGCCATTCAATTATGGATTTATACAGCAGATAAATAGAAAAGAAAACTTAAAACAATTTCAAAATTAGCGTTTAAATATTTTAACCAAGTCCTTGAGATTCAAGAACTGAACAATAGAAATACATTACATGACAATTATCAGGTAAGTTTGGATATTTATTTGGTTAAGTTGAGTTAAAAATTCTTTTAGATATACCTTTACCAATACTAAAAGTATAGAAACAAGTAATAAATTGAGTTGAATATGGCAAGCTGGGAAGATTTGTAGGTCATGGTTTCTTGATTAGTGTGTCTCAGTGTCATTACTTCACGACTCTGACACACACCTGGGTGTATATTTGAAGCTGAAAATGAATACATGGTGAGAGTAGAACGGAGTGAAATGATCAAGGATAGCTAGGTTAGGTTTTAAACCAAAAAAGCTACTAACTTTTTTTTCAGGCTCAAACCAGCGAACTTCTGATTGTTGGGCTAAATTTTTTCAATTTATGGTATTCATCCTGATTTGAAACAAAAAAGTAGAAAAAACCTGAAAAATTACTTGTTATGTTCAAATGTTTATAGACAGATTAAACGTAAAACTACTTTACAGTCAATTTGGATGGAGTCTGTGCAGACATCTAGGTGTGTACCATGTACAATGCAAACTGCTGTTGGCTATCCCTACTAATTTCATTTAGAGAAAGAATTAACTATTTAAAAATGTATTTCTCTGTTGGAATGTTAGAGTTGGATCACCAACCTACGGCTCGCGGGCCACATCCGGCCCACGAACAGATTTTATCCGACCCACGAAGGCCTACTGGGAAATAATTATTTTTATATAATTGGTATGAATCGATGATCGTCAAAGTTTCGGCAACGCCGGCAAGTAAATGTTTTGGTCTCGGTGATATCGTGATTGTAATTCGTCATCGCGTCAACTTCGCGATATCATGGTCTTCACTCACGGTTGTGGGCAACACTCGTAAGTAAATGTTGCTGTTCCAGTAATAATGTGATCGCCATTCGCGATTGCAGCAAATCGGCAATACTATGGTCGTCAGTCACAGTTGTGGCAATACCCGTAAGTAAATGTTGCTGTCCCAGTAATAATATGATCGTCATTCGTGATCGCGGCAACACCCGTAAGTAAATATTGCGGTGATGACCAGATCGTCATTCACGATAGCGGCAACACTCGCGAGCATATTTTGCGGTCTCAGCGATACCGATATCGTCTCCCACGATCGCGATTGGACTGTGAACATCTCTTGCGGTATTTGTAAAATTTCTGTGATGATCTCCAGTGATCGAGATTTACTTATGATGTTAAAAGAGAACGAATGGAACTCTTCTAATGAATTGAGACTTATTGGCTATTGGTGATCGTAGTCCTTGGTCCATACCGAATTCAAGTGCAATTCTCGGTGCCCAGGTTGCCTGGATACCCAGATACCCTGTTTAAACAGGGGCGGATCCAGGACTTTTTTAGGGGGGGGGGGGCGCTCTAAAATTTTTAGATAATGTGTGAACGAAGTTTTGCCATAGGTTATAGGTATATCAACGAAAATGTGTAAACTTTATGAGGGTTCAAAATAAAACCCATTTTTGAAGTTGGGTTCGGTTTACTGGTACTTGTAAAAAACCTGAATTGGTGAAAAACGTTTTGGTTTATTGGTTGTTATGCAATAATTTAGCCGCGATCATGGAATACGATAATCACCGCGATCGCGGGGGACGTGAAGATTTTACGGCGATCGCTAAACACGGTTCGAAACCTCATTTGCAGGATTCACCATACTTTCAGAAACTTTTTGGAAACTCCGAATCTGAAAACAGGGCTGTGAGGCTTAGATACAGAAATTATTTGAATAAGATTCGTCAATTCAATTTCGCCTTTGCCATGGTCAGATCTGAAGCTCATTTAGATGAGAGGATCACACAGGGAATCTACAATTTGGAGATCCATGACACGTTTTACCACCGAGTAGGTAATCTAATTCCTCAAGAATACGAACAGATGTATAATTACGACGTTGGCACTGGAACCCAACAACGCATGAAACACAATTCAAACAAAAATGCAATGAAAACATATGTGGGAAATAGGGTCACAATGCCTAACCATTTGCACACTCTTATAATACTGTGGCAGATATTTGTAGGGACGAGAGCTCCGAGGAGTCAAGTGAGATTCTTATGTACATAATAAGAGACAAAATAAGTTACTTCCCTCGCTACAATGATGCTACCTGTTTAGATGTCACTGCTATTTTTAAAGCTGAAAACCGAGCACAACCTGACCAAATAATCTTATAGTTTTTTTTTTTTACCGTACTAATAATGTTAAACGCGTATCCGTTCTAGATCCGTAGTTTGCTTACCCTCTTATGTTCCCACCCGGAGACTACAGTACATGTCGTTTTGGTTGGCGCCAAGAGGGATTTAACTTACAGTAGAACCTCTTTAATCCGAACCCCTGTAATCCGAACGTACACTAATCCGAACGCCTCATTGCTGTACTCTATACACAGTACAGTGTATCTTTATTACTGTATTTATTGATATACACACCGTAGTTGTTTCAATTGTAATGTACGGTACTGTTTATTCCCTATGTTTACTACTGTATTAAATAAACACTGTATTTTACTTTATAAAGCATTTTTCACTTTTCCCTACCTATTGTTATGTAAAAACAACAATATGTTCTGTAATACGACTATTCAAGAGTCCGAACTACCCCCGGTCCCAATTAGTTTGGATTAAAGAGGTTCTACTGTACTACATTAGGTCAGGAAAGCTCACTTTACAGTGTGAGGTTGACATCTACGTGCTCATAGAGGGCACCCGCCTACAGTACCTACTTAAGAGATAACCATAGTAGCATGAGAGCGGATCTATATGTAAATATTGTAGATTACTTTTATAATTTCTTACAACATAATATTTTTCATACTTCTATAATCTGTCATAGAAATTACTTTAGAGTGACTCTTTAATTGAGGTCTTCCTCATTATGTTTTTGTTCTTTATTCTTTTATTAAAGTTGCAGTTTTGCTCGATTTCGAGCAATGGGCTTTCTAGTATGTATTCATATGCAATAGTAAAACAAAAAACTATTTAATGTAATTCTAAAGATTTTTGGAATTATAAAAAGAAAATTTTTGATACTGTAAATTAATATTTTTCTTTCACTATAAGTATATACCAGGTTATCATCAAATATACCATATCATTAATTTTTATAGGTCACTATATTAAAAATAATTGTTGTCCCAAATACTTTTAAAAACATGTTTATAGTATTGATTTTTAGCTTATTTCACTATAGGGAAGTGACCATAATCCCGTTGGACTTATAGTAAGACATAGGCCCGGGACTTTTATTTTTTCATTTTGATGTCCCCAGACGCCAAAAACACTATCCGTTCAAAATGTTATATATGTATACATATATATATGTATAAATATATATGTTCGTGAACACGATAACACGAGTAATGACTAATATTGATGAAACTTGGCTTCAAGGTGTGTAACAAGCCTTTTTTCCTAGTGGTGTAAGTTTTTGTTATTTGGCTGAGCACCTATTGTTGTCATCAACAAACGGCGATGGCAAAGCTAGCTAGCGCCCTTTGACCCGGCTTATTAGTTCGGATAAGCCTGGGTATCCTGGAACTTCAGGACAACCTAGGAGAGGCATTCGAGTCTTGGATCGCCGACAGTGAGAAGGTAGTTGTTCGTGCTGTGGAGACGAGGAGTGTACGAGTGACAGAGGTGTCGGACGTTGGTGGCGTGATTGTGCTGAGTGTTGGTGTTAAGTTGGGTACAGACCCGCTAGTGGTGAGTGAGGACTTTCCTTACATTTTGGTTTATTTATTTATTTATTTATTTATTGCCAACGGATTTCACCAATTTACAATAAGAATTACAATAATAGTGAGATACTCATCATGACTAAATACTAAAACTAAGTAACAATGCGAAACTGATGAACAATACAATAGGGATACATGCAAAATCTAAGACAGAAAAAAAAAACTACTTATACCTAGGAATAACAAGACATAAATAATACAAGACATATGGTAATTGAATAAATAGTAAAAAAGTTTAAGTCTAAGAAACATGTACTTAACAGAGACAAGTGATACTAACCTAGGAAATATAACAATAAATATAAATTAT